CCCCATTAAATGATGTCGCAGAAAACTATGTGTGCTCTTAAAATTGCATTCACTCCCCTGAAACCAGCAACGTTTTTCAGCTTTACAGATGGCTTGACACCTTCCTAATGAAGTAAAGGAACGCTACAACTTCGGCCAAAGGAGAAATCCTGGCAGATTTGTGTAATAGACGCCTGCGTAATACAAATATGCTCCGTTTGGAAATTGCTGCAATTTTCCAACAATCCGGTAAAAATCACCGACAATCACATGACACACCATTAAAGCACGTGATACATGCGCCTCACATGTTGCTACCCATTTGACGGAAACAACACCCATCCTAACCTCGCCCGATGCAAAACGAGTTACTACTGCCAAAACCACCAAGGGACTCCAGACACCATTAATTATCCTACCGCAAAAAGCAACCACTTATCAATCACAAAGGCAAACATAAAACACTAGCATACTCCTTTCACCTTTTCTGCTTTACTTGATTGAAATCGCGGCAACCTCCATAAAATGTATGATAGTATACGATAAAAAGCGGTGGGACTCCCTGTGTCAAAGAATAGCATTTGAGCTAAACCAATCATATGATGCACATCGTCCGTCGCACACACTTTATAAACTACGGTGAGATGCGGTTATCTGATAACAATATAGTCAGCTAAGAATGCAGAGGGAGATCTCTCGTACGTCACTCGCCTCCGTTCCACTACATGTACTGTTCGAATTATTCCGCATGTTCTTCTGATAAAACGTTATGATGGCAAAAAAAATCCGGATGTTTTACATAAAATCGAGACGCAAAGTCTATCCTCTTTCATAGGGCCACGAAGCTTTAGATACCAAGCAAGCGCAAAGCAAAAGCGATTGACTAGGACGATTTGCCTTTTATTCGTCAAGTGATCTCACTATAAAAGGTTGTTGATGATTTGGTATCAAGGTTACCGCTATGAACTCTATACAACGGAATGGTAACCGATTGCTATAATATAATTACACTAGGAGATGATGCAGAACATTTCATCAAAATGTGGCAAAATATGCTGTTATCGGAATAACGTATGAAGGTGTTACGCATTTAGCCATAGATAGTCAACGTAACACTGATCAAACAACTAACATAAACAATTGTCACTGTAATTCTCAGAAAAGATGCATTGTAAAAGCATGCCGGCAGCTGATCGAGGATAGGATGATAACCCACTTGATGAAAATAAAATCAATATAGCAACTTGAAATGGCCCTAGAGCCTGCGTCATCAGTCCTACAATAATGTGACCCGCGGCCGACACCCGAACAGTCTGCATAGACTCTCACCAAAACCCAGCTTTTAAAACCTAGCTCCTAAACCCGGCTAAGCTCAGCTGCTTGTATATCCATTCACGGGGTATTTTTAGCAGGTTATCGGAACTTCGTATTAGTCAGGATTCCAACCCTTTGGACCAGCTAAGTCGACTAGCAATTTACAAAAGCTTTGTGCCATAATATTCGGAAAAATTTACCGCGTTTTAGCGTGAAAATTACCTTACACATTTGGAACATCAATGGTGTGAGTAAACCGATATATATACAACTCTGCTTTATAAATTACGCAATAAAGCAGGAATTAGTGATCAGTGATATGTGCTCAACACGACCGACGATTTTTCAAAATATAAGAAATATTCATTTTAGCCGTGGAGGGTTTCCCTGCATGTGGGGTCAAATAAAAATTCAAATATATTATATTTGAATAATTGTACCAAGTCATTCATTGATTCGCGTATATGCAAAGCTTACAAGCGACAACATTTCAAACTGTTTTAGTATATACAAGCAAAAATAAAATATAAGTTGCTTAGTGTACTATCCTAAAAAGCATTATTATACTTGGCGGAATGCACAACAATTTGAGTCCCAATCAGTCGAAACGCGTCTGGTGATTTTCCCGACTAGGCTCTGTTATGCAGCTTGTAAACTACTGGCATGAAAAATACAAAAGAAGAAGTTGTTGCTTACGAAGGATTCATTGCAATATTTATTATAACTTAATCGGTTTTTAAAAACTGATTACGTTGGCCCAATTGCTTCATGCTGCCAGCAGATTTAATAGAACGTAAGGAAGTTAAGGAAGCTAGGAAAGGCAGGATTTCTTATGTCTCTTGAAGTCAAAGCTTTTTATAATGCATGTAATAATTTTGGCAACATGAAAACATTTAATTTTAATCGCTTGTTGCTTCAGGAAATTTTATTCTACGCATATAAACTAATGCATACATTTCCAACTTGTCATCATTTGAACTTAGTCGTGCTGTACAGGGATATCCCTGAGGCATCTAATCAAGTTGCAGCAAACTTTCACCGCAATAATCGAATTGATGTGAATCATTAAATATAAATAGTGTGGTTTATTTTAATAGGTTGATCCCCATTAAACCTTAATCTAATGTACACCATTTATTCCATACCGTAACAAAGTTGCCTACATTAAAAAATTATTATAGGTTGCATGCTACTTACCGGCCACAAAAACCAGTCCGAATTATGTAATTTTGTAAAACATTAACAGCAAAACTCAGTTTATGTAACGTAAGTTACAAGTTAAACATAATATACAAATTTATTAATTTTGTCTAAAGTTGGACGAAAACTAGTTATCAAACCCGCAAATAATTTGCCGATGATGGAAATTGCTCAGCAAAGCGGTTTGTATCTTAACAACAAAAACACCATTCTTCCGGATGCTAAGCAGATAGATTCTGTCGTCTTTGTCAAGCAAAAGTACATCGGAATATAAGTGTACTTAAATCATTACCATAACGTCATTAACAATTTAGCTTGGCTGCTAGATCTAAACGCATAACATTCAATTGTACACAGCCAGAGCAACTCAGGCTAGAAGGGACACAAAAGCTTCAAGTAACACGTTTTCTTATAGCTCAGAAAACAAATGGATGAATACTTAATTTGGATAACTTGCTCTAGACACAAGCGATATATTATACTAGTTAAACAGAAGATATCGTGCTAAGCATTTTTATAAAATGCTAAGAAATGTAAGCCGAGAAGCTACTCGCGATGATGCAAAAGATTGGTCACAGATTCATTGGGTCTATAGAAAATTTGTGCAGTATAATTAGCATAGCAAGTTCCCGGATGATAGGTATTGCTCCTCATCCCAATGCTTGCAATGATTTATTCTAACATTGCAATTGAATTGCTATAACGTTGGAGTAATAAGGTTTATAATACAAGCAAACTAAACTATTGAATTACCATTCTAATGAATCACTACGTTATAGCAATTTAGGTATAGGTGAATAATATAAGTTTACATATTACGTTTCGAAAATTTTTGCATTAGGTACTCTATCAGTTTTTTTAAAATTTACATGATCTTGTATTTATGTGTGCATATGCGCGGTTTTTCTTGTTTTCTCATGTAAGCTGTTTCAAAAGCACAAAGGAATTTTATCCATAGTCATTGTTTATGATAACGATATGGAGACTAAAGAGACTTACATTTGCGTATCTGCTGTTCTTTTATTTTGCTAAGTAATACAAACTGAATATTGCACAATTCCCGATGCTGTCATACGTTTAATTTCATTAGACTCGAAATAAAATTATGTCAACATGTTTCAGCTTTCATATTTCAGTGATTTCCGCATGACCAGCTACTCAGACATACGGCTTTATTTACATCTATATTGTAATTTACCGTGCCGGACACCGTCGCTGCTCCCATAAGGGTTCAACAGTGAAACAGAAAGCACAAAGCAGTTATAACAAGCAACCTTCGCAGTGATGAAGCCGAAATTAACGAATAAGCCTTAATTTGTCATTAATAATTAAAAGAGCCAATGAAACACGACATATTTTTTGACAAAACAAAATAAACTAACTGGAATGGAACAGCTCTGCCACTGGTCTCCTCATCGAAATTACACATTTTACATAAGCTCTCCTTTCCAAAACTCAAAATATCTTTGCTAAGGAAACGTAATTCTATTAACGTAATGGATATCAGAATGATAATAAATGTTTCACAAAATTTTTTTATCGCTAACTTTCTTTATCGTCTGCCGATCAAATGGTAAAAAAATTGGTTTTTGTAGCAACCCAAAAGATATTTCTTGTTTTTTGTACACTTTTATCACTCAGTCATAAAATATTGCTTTTTGTTTTAATGCCGACTCTACGGCCATTATGAACTGCATCCGGCTCACCACTTTTCTCCACGGTGAGTTCCGGCACTGACGTACGCTCTCGTCGCTTCATTCGTTTTCGTTCGATTGTAGCCTTCCGCGAATACAATCCGTTGTGTCCGTCTTTCTGGTTTTCTGGCATCCCTACCAGCGCGAGAACACTCTCGGACTAGTATAGACTAGTCCTATAAATTGGTGACCCCGATTCGCACGCGCGAATCTTCAACTTTTTTGATCGTCTCGTTTTTCGGTGAGTTCGTTCCGAGTTGTTTTTTTCATAATCCCTGGTGGATTGTTTTCCGTCCATTTCGTTTTTATATCCATTCGTGTTATTTATATACTATGTCTGACGCTGATGTAAAACCCGGATCGGGCGGCAGCATGAATTTGCTCACCTTGGCTGTTCCGGATTTTATGGCACACAAGCCCAACGTCTGGTTCGCCATTTTTGAGATAGAGTTAGAAAACAGAGGGATCTCTTCCGACCAAGCTAAATACAACCAACTCGTCCCACGCCTTCCGCAACAGGTGGTGACATTGGTCGAAGACGTACTGCTTCACCCACCTAAAGACGGTAAATACGAAGCAATGAAGCAGTTGATTCTAAAGGAGTCGCAACCCAGCGCTCGTGCTCGATTGGAGCAACTCTTTCATAGCACTAAGCTAGGCGATCGCAAGCCTTCAGTTTTGCTCCGCGATATTCAACAGATTGCTGGCCCTTCGTACATGAGTGAAGAGGCATTAAAAGAATTGTGGCTCTCACGTTTACCTGATCCTCTTCCTTTAATGCTCGTAGCAAATCCAAATAGATCACTCAAAGAGCTGGCCATAACCGCGGACGCAGCCTTTGAGAGAATCCCTCAAAACATGAAGGCACCCAGCAGCATTTTCGTCACATTAGCGGATAAAGACTTGAATGCAAAAGCGCCCGCGCAAGCAGACCCCAGAGACGAAGAGATAGCCGCACTTCGCCGTGAATTAGCAACCGTGCAGTTAGAAAGACAAGGCTTACTAAGACCTCACGCTGACCACGAAATTGCCGCCGTTCGTCACGGTGCCTATCAGCCCCGACCCCCACCGTACAGATCCAGGTCACCGCGCAGACGCAGTCCATCACCCCCTCGCAGCCGAACCCGAAGTGCCAATTTAATCGATGATTTGTGTTGGTATCATCGACAGTATGGTGATAACGCTCGACGTTGCCGTTCACCCTGCGCCAAGCGTGGTGTAGTGGCACAGGGAAACTAGTTCGCCGGCACGTGAATGCGGCCCACGCGTCCGGCAGCGACAAAACAGGCCGTCTGTTTTACGTCAAGGATAGGCGCTCTCGCCTCACTTTCCTTATCGACACAGGAGCCGAAGTGAGCGTTATCCCTGCCAGCGCGCATGACAAGCATACAAAGCCCACGTACAATCTACGGGCAGCCAACGGCTCGCCGATAGCTTCATACGGTCAGCGCATGATGAACCTAGATTTAAATCTCCGCAGAGACTTTCACTGGGTTTTCACGGTTGCGTCAGTACCTTTCGCAATTATCGGCATCGATTTTCTTCGCCATTTCGGATTGCTTGTCGACGCGGGTCGCAACAGAATTTTAGATGATCATACGAAACTAAGGGTTGATGGCGTCCTTTCAGATGCCCCGGTAATCAGCCCGGTATTTCGGATCGCAGACGCACCGTCCGACTACTTGAGCCTCCTCTCCGAACACCCGCGACTGGTTCGACCGGCTGTAGAGCTTCCACCAGTCACGACAGAGGTCGCTCACCACATAGTTACGCGCGGTCAACCAGTTAGCGCACGGCCAAGACGGCTTGCTCCAGACAAACTACGGGCAGCACGAGCCGAATTTGACCACATGCTTCAACTTGGTATCGTCAGACCGTCCAACAGCCCATGGGCGTCGCCTCTGCACATGGTCCCGAAGAAGGTTGTGGGGGACTGGCGTCCTTGCGGCGACTATCGATCCTTGAATACGGTAACCACGCCTGATCGCTATCCGATCCCACACATAGTGGATCTCACCGCCAGTCTGGCGGGTAAAAGTATCTTCAGCAAAATCGACTTGGTACGCGCATACAACCAAATTCCGGTAGCCGAGGCGGACATCGCTAAAACTGCCGTGACGACTCCATTTGGTTTGTTCGAGTTTCTGCGTATGCCATTTGGCCTAAAGAACGCCGCGCAAACTTTTCAGCGTTTCATCGACCAAGTTTGTCGCGGCTTAGACTTCGCTTACGCGTATCTGGACGACATTTTAATCGCAAGCTCTTCACGAGAAGAGCACATACGCCACGTACGAACACTTTTTGATCGTTTATCTCAACACGGGGTGACGATCAACGCAGAAAAGTGTTCGTTTGGTGTCGATTCAGTTAATTTCCTGGGCCATCGTATCTCTTCTGCAGGCGTCGTGCCACTGCAAGATAAAATTCAAGCCATTATCGACTACCCCGAGCCTCATTCTTTCAAACAGCTCAGGCGTTTTGATGGCCTGGTCAACTTTTACCGTCGATTTATACCCAACTGCGCCTCTCTGATGCAACCCCTCACGGACCTTCTCCGAGGGAAACTAAAGACGTTCGAATTTCCTACCGCAGCACGCGCTGCTTTTAAGTCGCTGAAAGAGGCTATCGCCAACATAGCTTCCATAGCGCATCACGATCCGACCGCCCCACTGTCCCTTAGTACTGACGCCTCGGACGTCGCGGTCGGCGCTGTTTTGCAGCAACGCGTAGCCGACACGTGGCAGCCCTTAGCGTTTTTCTCCAAACGCCTACAACCTACCGAATCTCGCTACAGCACGTTCGGTAGAGAACTACTTGCCGTATATCTAGCGATACGTCACTTTCGACACGTCCTAGAAGGCCGCTCCTTTGTCGTCTTCACCGACCACAAACCCCTAACTTACGTGCTCGGCTCGACTACCGACCGATACTCTCCTAGAGAGTCGCGCCACCTTGACTATATCGCTCAGTTTACGACCGATATACGGCATGTCTCAGGTGTGCACAACGCCGTCGCCGATGCACTTTCTCGCATTCAAGCTATCTCCGCTGACGCCGGCACTGCTATCGACTTGGCAGCCATGGCCACAGCGCAACTTAACGACCCTGAGGTTGATCTACTACGCAGGTCTCCCTCATTGGACATACGACCCGTTCCGCTGACATCATCAGACGGCACCATACTCTGCGATCTATCTCTGGGCACGCCGCGCCCAGTCGTCCCACGTGAGTTTCGGCAGACCGTGTTCGACGCGTTGCACGGCTTGTCTCATCCAGGCGTTCGTGCATCGGTTAAACTCGTAACCGCACGATTCGTTTGGCGCAATGTTAATCGGGACGTCCGTACTTGGGCAGCTGCTTGCCTTCCGTGTCAACGCGCGAAGGTACACAAGCACACGAGAAGCCCATTAGGCACTTTTCCGACGCCAGACGCACGTTTTCATCACGTGCACGTCGACCTCGTAGGTCCTCTGCCGCCTTCCAAAGGCTCGGTATATCTACTGACCTGCATCGATCGATTTACTAGATGGCCTGAGGCCGTCCCCATCCCAAATTGCTCCTCGGAAACGGTAGCGAAAGCTTTTCTGGAGCGCTGGGTAGCTCAATACGGCTGTCCCGCCATCGTGACCACCGATCGAGGGTCACATTTCTCGTCGACCTTTGCCACGTTGCTTAAGGATTTAGGCTGTCGCCACGTCCAGACGACGGCGTATCATCCGGCCGCTAACGGCATGGTGGAGCGTTTTCACCGCCAGTTGAAGGCAGCGCTACGTGCGCACGCAGATCCTTCATGGTCTGAAACGCTTCCCCTCGTTCTTCTAGGCTTAAGAAACACGGTTAAAACCGATTTCGACGCCACACCAGCGCAGCTAGTCTACGGTTGCACGCTGCGGTTGCCCGGACAGCTGGTAGCACCAGCCCCATGTACTTCCACTTTTGACTACGGAAGTTACACTGACCGATTGGCTCACCAGATGCGTGAGCTACGTCCACCCGCTCCTCGATCGCAGAAGACACCAGTGTACGTGCCCGAGAAGCTGTCTACTTGTTCACACGTCCTTCTTCGCGCAGACGGTGTTCGACAGCCTCTTCAGTCGCCGTACATAGGACCCTTCAAGGTGCTGCATCGTGCGAGTAAGGCGTACACTATTGACCGCGGTGGTCGACACGAAGTCGTCACCATCGACCGTCTGAAACCCGCCTTTATGGAAGAAACTACCTCGCCTACTTCGTCTAGTAGTGCATCGTGCGACGTCACAACTCACCGTACCAATTTTCCGCATGCTAGTGAAGTCCAACCAGACCACGATCACGGTCTGCAAGCTTCAGCAGTCCCGACATCACCCGAACCTAGCCCGCCGCCTCCCACGACCAATCGCCGTGGTCGGGAGGTACGTAAGCCCGTTCGCTTCTCCGACTATGTACAGTGTAAATACTTTTAACTTTGTAGATATTGTATATATTTGCCTCGTTTTTGGTCGATTAACGTTTTGAAAACAAACAAAAATATCAAAAACCCCCGAAAAACCTTTTTCGAAAAAAATATTCAAAAACCAAAAAATATTTAAACACGCAGCTCATTCGTTTGTTCTTTTTGGCGTTTTCTGCGCGTGTTTTTCTATTTTCTCGTCTTTACATGCCCCAACCCTCCCCTTCGATCGACTGGCCCACACGAGGAATGTTTTCGAGGACCCTGACGCGGACACTGGTCGTTTCTCCGCGGGACGAGGATCGCTTCTCCGCGGGCCGAGGATCGCTTCTCCGCGAGACGAGGGTCGCTTCTCCGCGGGACGAGGATCGCTTCTCCGCGGGACGAGGGTCGCTTCTCCGTGGGACCATGGTCGTTTTCTTCGTGGGACGAGGGTCGTTATGGCGCGGGGCGGGGTGCGGCGGGGGGAGAGACCACTCCCAAGCGCACCGTTTGGCAGCAGCGGAGGTTGAGGTCCTGTCGGCCTTTTTCTGGACTAGCCAGTTTTTTGTAGTCCGACAAGCCCGCTCCAACGGCTCGCCGAAATGCACCCTGCCCTGCAATCAATAAATAATAAAGACCGGACGGCACAGCGGATACAAATTTTCGGCTACATTTTTTTCGATCCCGAGCAGACTCTTCTTTGTATACCAGAACCTTTTGCAAACTTTGGATCCACAACCAGTTGATTTCGAAGGCTTCTTCGTTCAGCCTTCTAGGAGGGGAGCTCTGTAGCAACCCAAAAGATATTTCTTGTTTTTTGTACACTTTTATCACTCAGTCATAAAATATTGCTTTTTGTTTTAATGCCGACTCTACGGCCATTATGAACTGCATCCGGCTCACCACTTTTCTCCACGGTGAGTTCCGGCACTGACGTACGCTCTCGTCGCTTCATTCGTTTTCGTTCGATTGTAGCCTTCCGCGAATACAATCCGTTGTGTCCGTCTTTCTGGTTTTCTGGCATCCCTACCAGCGCGAGAACACTCTCGGACTAGTATAGACTAGTCCTATATTTTCTATGAACACACCATTACATATATTATGATTGAAAACTCTTACATTTAAATGCGGAAGTTACTGGAGAAGCAGATTTCATTTTGTGGGTTAGTTCAATTTTGCCAGCAAAGCGGCCAATGAATCAATGACACCAAATATCCATTCATAGTACGAATGGATGAATCTGCATATAGCAAATCGATAAAGTTTATGGGCTAATATGCGACTATCCAAATTAAGTATGAAAAGAAAGACTCGCATAATCGCTTATGTTAGTTTGAATCGATAGTTCAATGTTGGTTCGAGCAATACCCTGATTTAAGTGGACCTGTGCATAAGGCGCATTTTGCAGAACGACAAACTCAAAATTTAGCGCCTAGTAGACAGCAAAATTATCGCACGTGGATCAGGAATACAACATTTTAGTAACACAAGTCGCCAAGCAACAACAACTAAGCGTTTGACAGACAAAATCGGATGTTCATATGCGGCAGACAATGTAATGAGCGTTTCGGTACTTCTTCGTAAACAAGAACGCAGACCATCTGCAGCTAAACTAAGGCCCAAAGCATGCGCTTCTTTAGTGACCATTGTAAAGAATTGGAAACGCACTCAACTGCGTTTGCTGTGGCATATAGCATATGCTTAAGTTGTCCAGTTTTGACCCCAAATGTTTGCAAAACCAGACGTAACCGCACGAAGCCAAATCGATCAATTATAAGTATAAATACATTAATTTCTACCATACCCATTTCCAGCAATTCTTTACAATCTGAATAATTGGAATTTGTTTTGGTTTTACGGATTCTAGTTGAATTAAATAACTGAGAATAGCACAACCCAGTAAAACCAAGTGGGGATCAATTAAATTAGCTAGCACCTTCATTGAAATAATAAATCTCGATTGTCTAATATACTCAGCACTTCAAATAATGCAATATTATGCAATTTAATTAAAAATAAGCCTATATGTTTACCGAATTAATGCGGCTCGGTGCAGTCAACATGGAATATAATCTGTGCAATTTTGTAAGATTCCGAAATATATTTGTTCGTAAAATAGATGCATTATTTCGCCAAGGAAATCGTCCTTGGTCCCGAACAATTTGAACAAAAATATTTAAGGTAAATGGAGCTTAACTAGGTAGCACTAATATT